TCAAAAATGAAAATAAAAATATATTTTATTTAGAATGGATAAATAAAATATTATTTATTATTTATTAAGATAATTTAAAACTATAATTTTGAATATTTAACAATAAAATTAATAAAAATAATTTGATTTGAATTGATTATTTTTTTAAAGTATATTTTATAATTAATTAAAAAATTAATTTAAAAAATATATTTTATATTGTTAATTAAATATGTCACTTTTAAAAAAATTGACGTCAATCTTCAATTCATTCAGTTTAAAAATGAAAAGAAAAATATTTTATTTAAAATGGATAAATAATATACTATTTATTATTTATTAAGATAATTCATGTGACACCCTCTACTATGCATACCATAAACACATAATTAATGAAATCCAAGTAACTTAATCTTTCATTATTAAAATACTAAACGTGTTCAGATAGAGAGTACCACGTCCATAACTTAACAAAATAATATAATCAATGAAAATTACAAAAGAAATAAGGCTAAGATTTTCAAAATAATTTAATAGAAATAACATCATAATCTAATATCCTATCTATGCCCCGATGTCACATGTCCTATTAGAGCAAAATCCAACACTGAAGCCTAAGCTTCATCACCAACATCCTTAGCCTCATGCTGATGATCACCTGTATAACAACCAAAGGAAAACAACACACAAGAAAAAGAAGTGAGAAACATCTCACTCTGGTTCACGATGTAGGAATACACACTGGATAGTCAAACACAAATAAGACATGTATATGTACATAACATAGATAGATTAACAACAATATCACATCTCACTCATCCAAGACATAAAAATCACTTTAACATATAACATTAAAAATGCACATGTAATGGACACGAACTACATATTATCATGCATGTGGCGTGAGTAACACTTCACATGGTGCATTGCCGCTAGCAACACATGTAGAGTAGTCTAGAAGTACATGTCGGTTCGCACCTTCTATCCACTCTCACTAGAAGGACATACTACCAGGGTGTCGTCGAGATAGCTAAGCCGCGCAAGATACATCCCATGCACATAATGGGTAAGACTGAGACTTACAAACCGAGCTATCCCCAAGGACTAATCCCCAAGTAAAAGGGGGCCTTCCCTGGTGGTGTATTCCATATCGTACCCTTAAAATTTTTTATGCAAATGCATGTAAATCAAGACCTATGCATTCTCATATCACATTATCATGTCTCATTATCATATAATATTATCATGTCATTCCACCGTATCAAATTTTCTCACATCACATACTCATTAATTATATTTCTTAAAGGATAAGATTGAATAACACAAGAGATTCACATCATTGCATATCATAGATCACAAGAGAGAAGTAACACAAGATACACATTGCACCAATAGATTTCACCAAACAAAGGAAGAAAGAAGCATAACAGGACAACTGGCGCTTAACCCTAGATTGGGCACTCAACGCAAGGCTTCCAGAGAGTAATTTTAACTCTCTGGTTGAGCCACGCTAAGCGTTGAATCTCACACTCAGTGCAGAGACGCTAAGCCTCAGGCTCATGCTTAGCCTGAGGGTCATAGACAACATTATCAACTTTCTATCACCTTAACGCTTAGCGCCATAAATGACGTTTAGCGTGGTTTCTACGATCAGAACTCTATAGATTTGCGATTTTCGCATTTTGTATCCAAATCATTGATATCTTCATACAATCGGTAAAAATGTTCTAAATCATGATAAATATTTAAAACAATACAATTTACTCATACAATTACATCTTCAAACAATCTTCTCTTATAACTACCAATGTATTCCTTTAGGATTTCTCATAGGAACCCATAGAGATCTCAAATCATACAATTACAATTCTTAAACTGAAATTAATCATTCATTCAAGCAATTCATACAATTAATTATATACAAGAAGAACAATAGATGAAATAAACACAATTGGGGAAAACCCCTCATACACGAACATACAACAAACACAAGATTGGGGGTCAATCCCACTACCCAACTTACATTCCCACACCTAGAGCGAGGTTTCTCACTTCCTCCTTACCTTGTTGAGCAAAAAAAGATGAATGGTTAAATCTGGGGTAGTTTCCTCCTTCTTTTAGTTCTCCGAGCTCTGAAACATAAATACGTAAAACTGATCATCTTTCTCTTTTTTTTATATATATAAAAAAAACTTAACCTCCCTTTAATCCTTTAGTAGAAGTGCTTTAACCATGGTTATCAAAAATAAGTTTCCTTCCCTTATTATAAATAATTAAATAAATAATATATTCTTTAATTAACAAAACCTCACAATACATATTCATATAAAAAAATTACAAATAGTTACTAAATTCAAAATATTTAATTATCACAAATATAGTAAATAATAATAAATAAATATCAAACAACTCTTATTAATAAAAATAAAATATCAAAACTATTTTTTTTGCTAGGAAAAATGAAATATATTAAAAGGGAGTACAAGGGGTACTCCAACCCATAAATAATTAACTTAATAAAGATTAAGACATGCAGCAGATTGCCCTGACCAAAACTATTAATAAAATACCTATATTATATTTTATAAAAACATGGTGTTACAATTCAAGACTATAATTTTGCATATTTAACAATAAGATTAATGAAATAAGGATATCAAGAACTGAAATACATCAAATTTAATCATTCACTTAATTTCTTAGACATCTCATTAAAAATGAAAAAAAAAAACTATAGTTTCGAATTGTCTTAATAAATAATAAATAGTACTTTATTTATCCTTTCTAAATAAAATATATTTTTTTCAATTTTTTTTTTCATTTTTAAACTAAATTGAACTGAATTGATGATTGATGTCAATTTTTTTTTAAAAAGTGAGATATTTAAATAAAAACATAAAATATATTTTTTAATTTAATTTTTTTAATTGATTATAAAATATACTTTAAAAAATTATCGATTCAAATTAAAAAACAATGTTACAGTCAACATAGATAACAGAACACATTAATAAAAATAATTTTACAAAATATTTTTGTAAAAAAAAATAAAAATTGATAACAAATTTGATTTATTATTGACCAGGAAGAGAGAGGGGTGAGACCTTAAAATATAAGTAGGAAACCAAGCTCACCAGAAGATGACATCTATCTTATAAAAAAAGTCTTCTTTTATATAATATATTGATGATTGATTGATGATTGACAATGTACAACTCTTTTACAATGTTAATATGTAACACCATTAAGCCCTTTAGTTAATACATATATGTTTGTTTCTTTTTAATCAAGGTAAGAATTATATTAGTAAAAATTATAATCACAATAGTAGGATTCAAATACATAGTCTAAATTTTACTCCAAAAATTTCATTACTACACCAATTTTAGTAATTATATATATATATA